TGGGCACGGGGCCCGGCCTCTGGGATTCACGCTGGGCACGGGGCCCGGTCTCTGGGATTCACGCTGGGCACGGGGCCCGGTCTCTGGGATTCACGCTGGGCACGGGGCCCGGTCTCTGGGATTCACGCTGGGCTCACGGTCCAGTCTCTGGGATTCACACTGGGCCTGGTCTCTGGGATTCACACTGGGCACTGGGCCCACTGGTGTCCACAGGCATTTGCAGTGATTTCCCATTCTCACGTACCAGATATGCTCACTGTGATCACTTACCCAGATCCACATCTTCTACTCTGGGCCACTGAGAGAAAGGCACATTTTTGTAAAATCCTTCTAGAATCTTCTCCTTGACTTGGCTGATGGAGTCACTGTCCATGACACGGACTGTGATGGAGTCCATTCCACAGCCTTGGAATGACACATTGAGATTCTGCGGGAGTGGAGATACAGAGAGTCACCGTACAGTCCATAATGCAGCTCCTGTAGCAGGCCAGTGGGTAGAGGGAGAGGCCTGGCTTTGAGTTTTATTTTTGTAAACCCTATACCAAACTGCGGATGCTGAGGATCAGAAACAAAAACAGGAAATTGCTGGAGAAACTCAGCAGGTCTGGCAGCATCTGTGGAGAGAAAGCAGAGTTTACGTTTCGGGTCTGCTGACCCTTCTTGTGCAAATTATTGTTTCTTCATCTATCTCCTGAAAAGTCTGACCTGCATCTTTTAAGATGATGCTCAGTCTGTGTTATATATTGTGCTTCCTAGAAATTTTGAAATAAGCACATTTTGAAACAGAATGACTGAAGTTGCGAGTGCATGCTTTCAAAACTGACTGTAACCCAATGCAATGATAACACAGCTCCTGAATCATATTGGGAAGAATGGAACAACGTGACATTTTCACTGCATTAATCCTGTTGCTTCTCTCTCAGATTAACCGAAAGCTGGGTGTTTGTGCAGTCAGAATTATAGTCTGTCTACCTGGGGTACCCTGTTGCCTGGCAGCCTTTATAGCCCATTTTATTGTGAACTTGTTATTTCCAATCAAAAGAAAAACTGTGCTTCAAGAACAAAGGATGGCATTGAGAAGCAACCGAGCAGGCTGGTACGGTGGCACAGTGGTTAGCACCGCTGCCTCAGAGGGTGAGGAAATCAGGCTCGATTCCAGCATCAGGCGACGGTCTGGGTGGGGTGTGCATGTTCTCCCTGTGTCCATGTGGGTTTCCTCCCACAGTCCAAAGACGTGCAGGTTAGGTGGATTAGCCATGCTAAATGGCCCGTAGTATCCAGGGATGTCTAGGCTAGATGCACTGGCCACGGGAAATACAGGGTAATTGGGTGGGTCTGGGTGGGATGTTCTATGGAGTCTCCATGCAGAGGAAACACTACGTAAACAGGTCACGCTGCATTTACACTTGCCCTGTCAATAGGGGCATATCAATCCCATCTCTGAGACTGGACCATACCCCCAGCCCCTTGCCATAATCTCCAAAACCTATCCTCAATCCCAAAGCATAGCCAGCACCCAGGAGAACTATGAGACTGAACATCGGTCAGTGTTCCACTCTGTTCACAACCTGTTCACAACCCCGCCACCACCCGCCCACCCCGCCGCTACTGTATTCCCCTCCCCTCCATTGGGTTCCCCTCCCCTCTGTTTCTGTCCAGTCCACAGTGTTCCCCTCCCCTCCCTTCCCTTCCATTCCCCTACCCTCTGTTCCTGTCCAGTCCACACTGTTCCCCTCCTCTCTGTTCCTGTTCAGTCCACACTGTTCCCCTCCTCTCTTTTCCTGTCCAGTCCACACTGTTCCCCTACCCTCCTTTCCATTCCCCTCCCCTCCGTTCCATTCCCCTCCCCTCCGTTCCTGTCCAGTCTACAGTGTTCTGCCCATTTCTTACCATTGGTCTCGCTTCAATATTCTCCCTGAGGAGCCACTCTTCATTCAGGGTGTATCGAGCTTTTCCTGTAATGGCATCCACTGAGCCTTTGTTTATTTGCTGCTTCATGGCACACAGTAATAAGAAGAAAGGCTCTCCCACAGTGTCCTGTAATCCAGTACACACAGACGGTGAAAGGTACAGTTCAGGGGACAGTGACTGTTACATCCATATGACAGGACAGCATCACTGGACACAGTGTGACTGCCACGGGCAACAGCATCACTGGGCACTGTGTCACTGGGCACTGTGTCACTAACTACAGTGTCACCCAGCACAGCATCACTGGGTACAGCATCACTGG